CTACTGTAAGCATAAACATAAGCACAAGCATAAGTCCGCCATCCTTTTTAAAATGCTGTTTCGAGGAGGTATACACGGAACCAAAAATAAGCCACTATCCATTCTCCCCATGCATCTAGTGGACATACTCACTACCATTATGCTTATACTTGTGCTTATATCATGGTGAAAACCAGGCTTTAATTAGTGTCTTCAGGACAAGATGTTTTTACTCACAGCTCCCTGATACTGGTCAATCTCTTTGTCTGTAAAGTATGGCATTTGTTTGAATGGGTTGACAGAGATCAACACTGGACCAATGTAGGTCTGATCAAATGGTTAAGGGTATAAAACAATCAAATATAAACTCTTTCTAAAGTTAACCATAAACTACAGGTAACATATGCAAGTGGAAGGAGTAGACTCTGAACTGTATTTGGTTACATAATGAAATATATGCTTCAGGGAAGGGGGGACAGGGGGTGCAAGGGCCAGTTTTGGCAAGTTATCTGGAGTTTGTTAAAGTACATGTACATGTACTTGAGAATATTATGAAGAGTTTATGATTCTTATTCTCCAACCATGAAATAGCAGGGTTCAACATATTACAAAAGTCATCATGCCAGGATAGCGCAATAAGGCTACCGACAAAAAATATTACCCCATTGGCCAATACCTAGAAACAGTAAGTCACTAAGTAAAGTGGCACTTGTTACCTCAACTGAATAATACAATCAGAAATTGTTCTAAGTGCACTCTTTTACCACTAATATTAATGCCACATGCATGTATAATAATGTCATATTTCATTCCAGTGGTAAGTCACAGAAATAGTCCCAAAGGAATTTGTCAATCAAAGTGGCATGTTCAAATCAGAATGCACCCTGAGCTGTAGGCAAGCCTAGCCAACCTTGATACAGTTGACTGCTCAACCAAACCATATAACACTATAACTGAACACTAAAATTATTGTGGGAAGTTAAAAATAAACCTGATAGACCTTTAACAAAATTTGTCACAACCAAAATGAATGAATATCAGTTGTACTTGTATATTCATGTAAATTCCTTGCAAAGGAATTTTGCTTCAAATGTTATTCAAGGTAAACAATCATCAATTTAACAACAAACAGTATATTTTTTATTATTTCATACTTGTGACTTTTGCATCAGTGTGGATGCATCTAAGCCCCCTTTTAAGACTGTACAATTTAAGCTCATATATATGTTTATCGAGCTTCTACTTAAACCCGTTATGTATAAATCCTTCGGCAGAATCAGATATTTTCGCCAGTTCAATAAATTCTAGAAACTTGTTCAATGCACAAAGGTGGCTACGATTGAACGAGTAAGCTAATGGATTGTACATCGTGTGTCTTCAGGAAGATTCCCAAATCTTGAAAACGACGCCCCACTGAGTGAGGCAAAAATTGTGACCAAACTTTAATGGACGGAAATAATTTTACGGAGGATTAAGCTGATGTTTAATACAAAATAAATAAATAAATTCAATTGGAAATATGAGAAATGGCTCGTTTTGGGCGTTAGAGGAAACTAAAATTATGCAGCTGATATGTGGTTTTCGTTTGCTTTGGTTGACGAGACAGGCAAGCTGCAGCCTCACAAGCGCTTGACAACGAAAACCACCATATTTACTCTCATTTTCTGTAATTCACTCACGGTAAAATTTATGTAGGAGGTTCTAAGTTCCCATCAGCAAAAGATAAAGAGTAACCTTCCACTTATATTAGACTTATAAATATCTAACTTGTCTGCTTAGTGTACAGTGGAATTAAGAACTTAGTAAGGTAACTAAGCTTACATCAAAGGGTGAAGTAGTTGTGCATAACGCATTCTTCACTCAAGATGATGTGTAGTGAAAGGATACGAAAATAAGGTCGTCCATATAACGTTTCTTTAGGTTCTCCACGATCGCCGCTTCTTGGATCTTCGGCAGAAGAACCATATCTTCCACCCCACTCGCTTTAACATTGCCCTTACTCTGCCAATGGTAGTTCGAAGGCTGGAAAATACAAAATTCCGTGGTGTCGCTGTTACAAAACTTAATCCACACATGGTCAAACATTCTAGAACAACAAAACTCACCATTTTTTCGGCTTATTTTCAAGGAAGTTTTTCACTTAAGATCAAGACAACAAGGAAGCAAGATACATTCTCAGCAAAGAGGAGAAGTATTTACGAAAGAACCGGAACCTCCTCTAGTTCGGAAGTGATGTTTTCATTTGGCACGCATGATCATAATTATTCACCATATACGGACGGAGCAGGTTTCGAATACTAACACCCCTTGTGATTGGACGATCTTAATTGGGTAGCCAATCAGAGCATTGTTTCTTCTGACGAGCTAAAAATAGCGTTGACTAGGACATTTCCATAGTCTATGGTGTCTTCTTTTTTGCGGTGAATTTAATGTACAGAATTTCTTATAAACTTTAAGCGTTGGATATAACTCTTATTTAATTGCGACCACATCGAAAACTTAAAAAACGAAATCGTTTTGTCATTTTTACGAGTTTGGAAAATCGCCAGGAAAAACACGATTGTGGCTATATTTTCATTTTAGAATTTCTGACTAAAATATTTATAAAAGCGAAAACACATGAGGGTTTGAATGGTTTACATTGACAACTCACAATCAATGGAAAATTACAATATTTTAAAATTCATAGATACTTGGGGCATGATATCATTTGATAACAGCTGCGGAATAATATCAACTATTCTAACGTGATGAGCGTGGGTTTTTAGTTTTTTTAATTAATGCTTCAAATTAATGCATCAATAATTTCATTGAAAATATTACACACTTGTAAACTATTTTCCACCAAAAATGTTAAATTTTCCTCTTTGGAGAGATCAGATTTCAGACAACTGCTGTCAGAAGCTATCGCCGTATTATTTGAAAAGTTTTATTGTTCTCATGTTACAACTATACCCATCAAAACAGCTGATGAGTTTTTTTTATGGAACACTTATAAGCTGTGGTCCGAAAATAGTCTCCAGGGATTAATTTTGTAGAATTACTTGAGTCTGAAAAGGGTGATTTATTTTAAAAGAATATATTTTATTTTTGACATCTTTTAATAAGAACAGACTGTGAACTCTAAGATAGGCGAGGAGACACCCTTTTTTTCATTGGGTTTACAACGTACATCTCAATAAATCCAACCCAGCCTTGTCCACAATTCTTTTTAATCTTCTATTTCACAAACCTCCCTCATCCAGTTGAGATCACTGGGTAAAACTGTTTGAAACTGTCTCCCAGGAAACAAGTTTTATTAAAAAGCATTTCAGTTTTCTGTTGCCTCTGGACAGAATGTCTTGAATATAAATAACACTCATCAAGAGAGCCTTGGGGTAAACCAATGCCAGCTCTATTATGTTGATTTATGGTCACATAGGCAAGTTAAAAACATAGGCACGCATGACGTGCAAATTAAAACAGGAAAAAAAAACTCAGAATTTACCAATCCAGCTAGTTTAACAATCATTGAAATTTCTGTTCCAGAAATGAATCTGTGCCTATAATTAGAGTATTTACAGCCTCACTAGTTTTGTTCTTTTTCAGATCAATAAACATATGACAAGAAATGTTCAACAGGAGAACTGGAAGTGAGTACAGGAAGGTGATGGCCAGGGGAAGTTAGTCCAAGGGGACGGTGGGGAAGAACCAAAATTCTACACTTCCTTCAATCAAGGTTTTTTGGGATGATTCCTGCCTGGTGACAATTTTTCAGTTTCCCATCAAATGTCTTTATATTAATATTCAGTCAGTCAATAGGAAACTTTACAGACGTGTGTCAAGAGAACTAATTGAAGTAAATATGCATATCTTCTGCAACTGCCCCACAAAGAAAGATGATTAAAAAAATTAAGACAACACTTTTCTGGCCAAAGCAAAAATGACACCACCAAATTTAAAGCTCTATGCGGCCAAACCTCTCGACAATGGCCACTTTGGGGACAGAGGAAAGTGGACATTGTAGAGAGATGGTTGTCATGGGAAGGTAGGATTTTACATGACACCTGTGTTTTTGAGTGTGCAACATTGCTTCTCTTAAAAAAATGCTTATTTTAGCATATAAACTGTACGTGACACAAATATTATCAAAATAAATCAGTAAATCAGAAACTAAACAGAGACCACCAAAGTGTGGTACAGATAAAGTTTGGTGAACTTTTACAATAAAAAATGAGGTTTTGTATACACCATTCATCAGTTATTGATTTACTGGCCATTGTCATGAGGTTATCTTACCAGTCAGCACACATTTTAGTGGCCTTTGCCATTGTGGAGAGGTTAAAATAAGGGAGAATGTATGGACTGTCCACTGGGACCCCAAGAAGTGGCTGTTGTAGAGAGGTGGCCATTAGTGGAGGTCTGACTCTATTCTTAAACACAAAGGTTAGCTGATGGTTCAACTTATGCATAGGCAACTATTCAAAAACATTTTATTGCACAGTAATTACCTAAGTATACAAGGTCATTGTTATTATAGACCTATAAAATACAATTTATTTGACCTTCTGAAAGTTAAATATATTTCTCTAAAAGTCTCCAATAATTGGTAGCAAGCCCTGATGAAATGTTCACTATACAAAGCTATATATACAAGTGCTACATTACTTAAATCAAATGCCAACATGTATTGTTGAATTGATTACCATTCTATGAGAAATCCTATCATTCTGTCCATTTGTATAAACACATTGCACACAGAAAAACTATAGTCAGTCAGTTTTCTCGTTTCCTTGTGTCAGCCAGAAAGTTAATACATGAAAACCAAAAAGACAAGCCAAGAGGTTACCTAGAGTAATACTCATTCCTAACCTGATAAACGATTGCTGAAATAATAAAATAATTTAGACCATCTGAAGAGGAGTAAAGAGAATTGGTGCAAGTCAAAAAGTTGCAGGATGGAGATGGAGGGAGATAAAAGCACAGTCTGTGAGAACACCTCTCAAGTTCCCTAGCCTTTAGCCCCTCCCCCTCCCCTGCAATTCCTGGTCTGACTACTAGTCTCATTCCTCTTCACATGATCCAATCACAGAAATGAAGAAAGGAAACAACTACATTGACAACTTGCTGAGGCAGAGAGGGAGACAACAGTGATTTTTCACTCTGTGCAGACAAAGATGATTTTCATTTATCACTGCTGTTCATCTGATGACTCCTCATATTCACTACTGTCTTCCTCCTCAATAGTACTGCATTCTTGAATTTCAGCTGCTCCACTGGCCAAGGGCAGACCATTTGTAGAGACAGGTGGAATATCAGTGGGATCTGGTCCTTGAGACTTCCCTGACAAGAGTTGTTCTACAGAGATAATATTGAACAAATGGACTGTGTTCAGTAGGTGAAATGTCTGTTATTTAGATTTGATAAAACAAGAACCAAAAGCTGTTATTTGGAATGGTAATTTCTACATATTTATAAGTTAACTGTGGCAACTTGCAATTGAACAGGAGCTAATAAACAAATACAAACAACCTGTGTTGGCATTAATGGGGGAACACTGCCCTACGTTTGGTTAGCCCATGCGACTTCTGGTGATAGCGTGACAAACAACCTCACTTATCTCCCCAGCACTACGAGCTGAATGACAAACAGCACATGCTGGATCAGACAAGAGTATCAGTTAGTGAGCAATATTTAAAGGCGATAAAAAAAACAACAATCTTGAGGGAAGTCGCTGTGTAGACTTAACCGCACCACACAGGAGTGACCCTTTGTTTCTTATGCTGGAGTACATGACCAACTTCATCTCCAAAGGGAGGGAGGGAGGGAGGGAAACTTTAACAATAGATTTACCAGTGTTTCAGCCAGAAAATTTTACTTGAGGGCCAAAGTGGCCACTGAAGATCTTTTTTAGGGGCCATTTTTTTAGGAAAGGGGCCAATAAATTGAAAGCTACAGAACGAAAAAATGCATCAGGGTACCAAGGAAAATAAAGCAATTTATTAGGATCTATGATAAAATTTAATAGTAAGTGCTTTTTGAAGTGTTTGTACTCAATAAAGTTTCTTTTGAATCAGATACTAGTATGAAGGATCCGTGCATTACAAGAGAAGAATCCTAACGCATACACTACGTAGTCAATGATCAAGGGTTTGCAATGCATCATAGGGCGATTTCAAACACGGTCAAGCATTGGGAAGTTTTCCGATATGAGAGAATCAATACAGCAAAGCAAAAGGACGGATCGACTTCTTCTCTTATGCTGAATGTTTTAGAAGCAAAGATCTTTCAATATGATATTCTAGAAGGGCATAATGTGTGACAAAATAACCGTTATTGATCGTCAACACAGAGAAATGTAGTCGCCATTATACCGTATTATGGCAACTAAACCAGAAATTTTAGTTGCCAAGGATGAAATGCTTGTTGCATTGGCGACCGTATTGATCACAATTTCAAGCCCTGGGATGGCTTTTAAAATATTATGCCTGTGTTAAGCCTGCGGTCTTGTAAAAGGAAAGGGCCAAATTGGCCCTTTTATCGTTTTTCTGGGGGCCATCTCTGATTGTAACGCGGGATTCCCGCAATGGCGCGCTCTGGCGGAAACACTGGATTTACAATAAGTAATCACTGCACTGGTTAGTCAAACACAAAATGGACTCTGAACAGTTGTTTGAGCTGTTATATATAGACATTCTTTACCAACAGAAAAAGCTGTACCACTGGATAGCATACCCTAGCACATGTAACATCTTAAACAGGAATAGCACTTTAATGCTTTGCACCAATGCTATGGATTGTTATATCACTCGGAAGGTAACAAAGATATAATGTTTTAGGTTTAGCTACAATGAAGCTTACACTTTGCTGACCTTTGGAATACAACATACTGCTCAGTAGCTCTATAGAAAGCAATGCCGCCATGAGCAGCTCATTGAGAAGGTAAGTCACGCTCCTTTGACTATATTTCACTGGCGTGAAACTAATATCTTATTTGAAAGCACTGCAGTTTATTATTAACGCCAAACTGTAAAATGCTACAAGCAACACAAATTTACCTTTTCCAATTAGATGGACATCACCATAATATTCCTGACACTGCATAGTTTCTTCATAAAAATCAGAAGAACCTCCATACAATATGAACTGGTCTCCTACCAGTGTTGCTGTGTGTACCCCCCTGGCAGATGGTTTGTCCCCAGATGATAATGGCTGGAGCCACTCATTTGTGTCTACAAATTCACAGTGATAGAAACAGTTATTGCTAAAGGGCAGAATACACCAAAGGACTTGCTAAAGGGCGGAATACACCAAAGGACTTTGATAATAATAAATTACTGTATAATGTCTCTAATAAAAAAATTGTAAAAGAAAACAGTAAATGAATAAATATAATTTATTTACAAACTCTAACAATGGTAATGACATTTAGGAGAGGTATCTTGTTATGCATTATTTGTTTTTAATAGAAAAGTTGACTAAAAGTACATGGTGCAGACATTTAACTGGAAAGAGTAATTTCCCACATTTGTCAATGGAACCAAAACTACATGTACTTTCACAAACAGTCATTGGTCTCTCCACTGTCATATTTTGGTTGGTTTCAATTATTTAAGTCAGAAGAAAGACTCATTTATGTTACATTGTGTTGCATGCTTGTTTTAAAATAAAGATATTTGCAAAGAATACTAGTCGGCCTTCTCCCAGAAATGTTCCCCAAATTGTGTGCACTGTGGGGAGCAAGACAACTAATACCCAGAAGAAACAAATCTGCTAATTTGGCTTTATATTTTCATAGGTCTATAAACAACAGTCGCTGCTTAATCACCTGTGTCGAATATATGAAGATCATCAAAATGTGCATTGTCCAGGCTTCTCCCTCCAAACACTACCACTCTGTTGCCCACAGCAGTGCAAGTGTGAAATGAACGAGGCTCTGGTTGTCGTCCTGTGGCTTGGGTTGAAATCCACTCCATAGTTTCTGAGAATGAGTAGTAAATTGTTACTCTGCTTCAAGGTTGCCAAAAGTAAATGGTTACTGGCAAAAAACACCATCTACTTCATCACTGCAGCCAGCTACTTTACTGGGCTATTGGTCTAATTCATTAATAAAATGGCAAACTACTCTGATTTCTCAATCTGTAATTCTGTATAATTCAGAACTTTGTGACAAACCTGTGTTTAGAAACTCTAATACTTTAAATAAATAAATTACAATATTTATGGAAGAATCCACATCAGCCTTAGCTGGTTTTTATGCGGGTCCTCTATCCTGTTTTTTCGTAGAGAGGAAAACCAGAGAACCCAGAGAAAAACCCTTGAAACAAGGTGAGAACCAACAGCAAACTTGACCCACATAATTATGGCACCAGGCTGGAATTGCACCCAGGCCGCATTGGTGGGAACCAAGGGTTCTCACCACTATGCCATGCCTGCTACCCACATACTATCCATGTCTATTGGTTCTACTGGACATTAAAATGTAAATGGCTTCACTTACAGTGATATTAATCAACACAAAATAAACAAAAACTCACCCATATCCAAAATGTATAGGTCATTTTTCCTGCCAACACTGTCTCTGCCTCCAAAGATAACAAGTTTTGATCCAACAACACACATTCCATGAGCTGCTCTAGGTGTTGGACATCCAGTAAATGAAGGAGTCAGTTTTTCCCACGTGCAGTTCTCTGGAAAGGTATTTACAACAACACACAGTCAAGCCAGACTTAATAGTTACATTTATGCCAGTTTTGTGAGTGACAGGTGAATGAGTTCTTTTAACCCCTTTTAGTTTAAGATATCCACCCCTTAGAATTAAGATCTACCAATAGCTGGGGTTTCATTGAGGACTGTAAACTAACTCAGTCCCCTTTGTGCCATGTGGCATATAGGACCACACAAAGGATTACAGAAATCACTACATTAAGAACTCCACACCAAGCAATTTGACCAGCTATGAGAACCATTTTGTCCACCTGGTTTGACAATCTTGAGAAAATTGTTTGAAAGGTTTGCCTTACTGCAGAAAATAGTCAATGAAACCCCTGCAACATTGATTGAAACTACAGTGCTGCTCAAAAGTAAGTTACCACCTCTCGTCTTGTTTCCCCGAGATGAGACTCTCATATCGCACTCTTGTCTCGTGAGACGAGAATCTTGTCTGGCGAGACGAGAGTGTGAAAGGGTGGTAACTTACTTTTGAGAGGGTGGTAACTTACTTTTGAGCAGTACAGTAATACATCCATGTAGTTACACTTGATATGAAACTTTCTAATTGCTGGTGTCCCTGATAAGGGTCCTTCTGTTGTGCTCTTAGGCAAAGGCTTTTTATTCTGACCTTTTCACACAATGGGAATTGCTGGGAAAAACTGACAAACTGCTGAAACTTAACAGTGGGACTAGCATCCCATTAGGGGGAGCACAAATAATTAACCTTAGTCATTTTGTTACAAAGAACCAAGTTAATTGATGAGCCATCTTGTTTCTCCAATCCTCAAGATTGGGAACCTTTTGGTTTGAAGGTGACCCTTGGCACATTTTAAAGCTTATGTAATGAGTTAATGTGATGACTGTCTTCTCTGCACTGGAGGGTAAGTGCTGGTGCGTAATGTACCTGTGTCAAAACTGAAGAGATCATTAAACCATCCAAACTGTGCTTGATCTGGCTCAGAAGTGTCTGCCTCAGTATCTTCCACAGGACCAAAGCCACCAAAGAAGAGAATCTTGGTTCCCATAGCAACACATGTAAGCTTGTCACGTGGAGATGGAGGAGTACCTTCATATGCAACATTTTGCCATTGCTTTGTTTCTGATGCAATGAAAGAATATTACCCAAGTTATTTAAACAGGGGTGGAATTTATTTGTTTCAGTGTTTCTTTTTCACAGACAAAACCTTAAAAAGCAATGGTGCTCATTTGAGGACTATTGAAATTTTCAATGTCATACCAGTGTCAAAGGCATAAAGATCATTAAGCCATCCATAGTCTCTGCTTAGTCCTCCAAAAACATACAGTTTACTTCCAACTCCAGCCATAGAAGCAGAAGATCTTGATGATGGTACTTGACCTCCAATTACAATCTTGTTCAACGTGTGAGAATCTAGACAAAATAAACAGAAATGTCATGAAATGTTTGTTCACTTCATTCATGCAACGATGCGGGGTCAATATGGGGAAGGCCTACAAGACAAGTTGGAAGGGGCCTTGATGTGTCTATTGAGTTTCCTTCTGCTCCTGTCTAAAAGAACTAAATGTAAGAAGAAAAATGTACATACATACAGAGATCAGAATACACCCTCTAATGTAGCTCACGTACAGTACAAGTAGGAAAGGCATTTGTATTCAGGGCTTAAAAGGTGTCTTAACTTTCCTACCTAAGCTTAACTCCTCACCCACACCACATGCATTGAATGCTTGACACATTACCACAACTAAGCCGCTTGGCTGCCGAGGAGAAAGAAAATAATGTAGCAAGAAGCACATACCAGCCCACTGCACAAGTATCCATAAAGCAACAAAACTATCAGAAAATGCACTTTCATAAATTCACACTTAGAGTGTAACTTGTTTACCACTGAACCTGACTTTATCAATCTGTTTGCTGTCATAACATTCATGGTTCAAGTTGTCATTATGCACAACAAAAAGATTCTCACTCACATAAAGGTCCTGAACGTTCTGAATTTTGCAGAGGGCCCAAAAGAGGGCCAATGATAGTTCGTTGTGTTTTGTCTGTTTGCCTCAAAACAAGGCACCAATGGAGTGCAATGCATTCTGGTTGCTGCACTGTGCATTCTGGTCGCCACCCAATACAATCTGGTTGTCGCGAAATGCATTCTGACAAATCTCGCTTTTGCATAGGTTTCTTATATATTCTGATTATAACTGCTGCTCGCTCACTGTGCTTGAGCAATAAAAATCAGATATAGCAATTAAGAGGGGTCATTAAGCGATCTTCCATTGTGACTATCGATTGATTAATAGAACCAATCAATAAAATCTTTTGATTTTTATCGGGTTTTTTTCAATTATGTCGATTGGCAATCCATGATCGAATTTCATCGATTGGGCATGCCGGGATCAGTGATCCAAGATCACTCGGATCATGGTGCATCAAAGGAATCGACGAATCCACTCTGGTCACGGAGTCATCGGTTCCTTCGATGCACCATAATCTGAATGATCTTGGATCACTGATCCGATCCAGATCATCCCAAAGGAACGCACCCAACATTTTCAATCCTCAACAGAGCTTTGATATGACAACATTTCGTGGCGCTTCCAGAAAAAAACAAATTTATGATAACCCTTATTATTATTGCATAGGCTTATTCTTATTTCTGCTTATTTGCAATTGATCTTGTCGATGTCTGCTCAGTCGATAAATAATCGGTCATATAATTACAGTAAGCTGAAATCGCGATCGCAAATCATTTATAACATGATTACGAACTTCGATGTCGTAAATGCTTACCAGCGTCGAAAACAAGAATCTCGTTGGATTCTGCTGCTTCGCCGATATCAGAAAGCCAACGAACTCCGCCAAACACGTATAGTTTGTTCGCCATGGCGGCGGCACAATGTCCATCTCGAGATGGCAATTTGGCGTCCATTTCTAGCTTTTTCCACGCGATATTTATATCATTTAGTAGCTTTGTTCCATAGTGAATCGGTACCGAGGATTCGTTTCCCATTTTCGGCTTAATGGAAGGAAAAAATGAAGGAAAATTGTCTCCTGATGTTCAAAACCGTTGACTGTCCTGGAGCGGCGCGCGAACTTAGATTTTGGCGCGAAGCGTTCAATCGATATTTACATCTACTTGAATGACCAATCAGAACGTGCAAAGGCAAGTCGATAATTTCCATCATGGCTGACACTGCGGGGAAATTTGCTGAGGAAAAAATGCCTTTCAATTTCTTCAAAAAAGTTCCGAAAATTGTAAGAATTTTAAGCAACCTTTTCCAGTGGTATTGTTTAACATTTCGAAAAGAGCGAAAAAAAGATTTTTCGCGGAGATGACCACATATTTCTCTTTACGGTCTTTACGTTAAAATGACTTGTCAACTTTCAGGAACTTCATGCTCATATAAACGGATCTATAAGCGCCGAGACGATCGAGAAGCTCATCAAGAGAAAGTCTGACAAAGTAAAAGAAAACTGCTTAGTGTCTAAATGGCAAACAACAATTCAGAAAGGAGACAAGAGAGATTTAGACGAGTAAGTGCCTTTTGAAAATAAATGGACGGTGCTTACAACACAAAGGTGTTGCATACAAAGGTATTTTCGCCAGATTATAACCATGTGGAAAAAGTAAATATTAGCAGCGGCTATTGGGATCCACAAAGAAAGCTGGGGGTAGCCATGCATTTTTCCGAGATAGTTAGCTTTGAATCTCGTTCCAAAATGCTGAGGTCAGCTTTTTTTCTGAAAAAGAAGAAAAATGTATTTCTTCACAGATTTCCCTAGAATTCGCTTTTATTAAGATCTCTAAACTACATGGTAAATGGTAACATAAAAACTGCATCTCTGGCTGCTCTCCCCTGGTTTTGCCAAAATACAATCTAATAGCTTTTCCTGACAACCAGAAACTTATCACATGTTGAATAAATAGGCTTGCCACTTCCATGGCAGAACATCAAATCAGGGTTCCAGATAAGTTTTCAAGGTGTGGTGCCAATGAGGAATGCCAACGGGTCATTTTCCAATGCTCCCACCAAATCATCAGAAGTTTTCTATTAATTTGTCAGGTCATGTTGCTGAACTTTTTGACCAGAGACCCCTTACTTATCTGGAACTCTGCAAATAAGGGGTAACCACATGCCTTCAAGGGTGAAGTGAATTGCTTTCATCTTTTATGGTGCCTGTTACATTTTTTCCAGTCACCTACCCAGTAAGTCAAACATTTGCATCTCTCGCACTTGTATTGCAGTTAGATTTCAGTATAATTACCAGTTTTTCAGCTAGAAGCGTTTTAGGGTTATTGGTTAGCAATATGCCATTATTCTGATGTTCCTGGTTTCGCAAGTAAATTAAGCTTGATTTGGCCATGGTAAGAAAATGATTCTTTCATTTTAGTTGCACACTTGGTAGCATAGTTGACTGCATTGATTTCAACCACGTGGCGTGTAAACTATGCTTTGCATGATGCACAGAAAGCGTGCACAACAACAAAAGTAGGCACCCTCCCTAAAAACTTCTTGCAGATGTTGTTTAAATCTCTCAGTTCATTCATTCCTTCCATCCATGTACATGTATCCTTCCTTCCATCCATCCATATTCCAGTCAATCAATCAATCAATCCATCCATCAATCGGTCAGTCAGTCAGTTGGTCAGTCAATTAATCAATAAGTCAATCAATCAATCAATCAATCAATCAANGATGAAATGCTTGTTGCATTGGCGACCGTATTGATCACAATTTCAAGCCCTGGGATGGCTTTTAAAATATTATGCCTGTGTTAAGCCTGCGGTCTTGTAAAAGGAAAGGGCCAAATTGGCCCTTTTATCGTTTTTCTGGGGGCCATCTCTGATTGTAACGCGGGATTCCCGCAATGGCGCGCTCTGGCGGAAACACTGGATTTACAATAAGTAATCACTGCACTGGTTAGTCAAACACAAAATGGACTCTGAACAGTTGTTTGAGCTGTTATATATAGACATTCTTTACCAACAGAAAAAGCTGTACCACTGGATAGCATACCCTAGCACATGTAACATCTTAAACAGGAATAGCACTTTAATGCTTTGCACCAATGCTATGGATTGTTATATCACTCGGAAGGTAACAAAGATATAATGTTTTAGGTTTAGCTACAATGAAGCTTACACTTTGCTGACCTTTGGAATACAACATACTGCTCAGTAGCTCTATAGAAAGCAATGCCGCCATGAGCAGCTCATTGAGAAGGTAAGTCACGCTCCTTTGACTATATTTCACTGGCGTGAAACTAATATCTTATTTGAAAGCACTGCAGTTTATTATTAACGCCAAACTGTAAAATGCTACAAGCAACACAAATTTACCTTTTCCAATTAGATGGACATCACCATAATATTCCTGACACTGCATAGTTTCTTCATAAAAATCAGAAGAACCTCCATACAATATGAACTGGTCTCCTACCAGTGTTGCTGTGTGTACCCCCCTGGCAGATGGTTTGTCCCCAGATGATAATGGCTGGAGCCACTCATTTGTGTCTACAAATTCACAGTGATAGAAACAGTTATTGCTAAAGGGCAGAATACACCAAAGGACTTGCTAAAGGGCGGAATACACCAAAGGACTTTGATAATAATAAATTACTGTATAATGTCTCTAATAAAAAAATTGTAAAAGAAAACAGTAAATGAATAAATATAATTTATTTACAAACTCTAACAATGGTAATGACATTTAGGAGAGGTATCTTGTTATGCATTATTTGTTTTTAATAGAAAAGTTGACTAAAAGTACATGGTGCAGACATTTAACTGGAAAGAGTAATTTCCCACATTTGTCAATGGAACCAAAACTACATGTACTTTCACAAACAGTCATTGGTCTCTCCACTGTCATATTTTGGTTGGTTTCAATTATTTAAGTCAGAAGAAAGACTCATTTATGTTACATTGTGTTGCATGCTTGTTTTAAAATAAAGATATTTGCAAAGAATACTAGTCGGCCTTCTCCCAGAAATGTTCCCCAAATTGTGTGCACTGTGGGGAGCAAGACAACTAATACCCAGAAGAAACAAATCTGCTAATTTGGCTTTATATTTTCATAGGTCTATAAACAACAGTCGCTGCTTAATCACCTGTGTCGAATATATGAAGATCATCAAAATGTGCATTGTCCAGGCTTCTCCCTCCAAACACTACCACTCTGTTGCCCACAGCAGTGCAAGTGTGAAATGAACGAGGCTCTGGTTGTCGTCCTGTGGCTTGGGTTGAAATCCACTCCATAGTTTCTGAGAATGAGTAGTAAATTGTTACTCTGCTTCAAGGTTGCCAAAAGTAAATGGTTACTGGCAAAAAACACCATCTACTTCATCACTGCAGCCAGCTACTTTACTGGGCTATTGGTCTAATTCATTAATAAAATGGCAAACTACTCTGATTTCTCAATCTGTAATTCTGTATAATTCAGAACTTTGTGACAAACCTGTGTTTAGAAACTCTAATACTTTAAATAAATAAATTACAATATTTATGGAAGAATCCACATCAGCCTTAGCTGGTTTTTATGCGGGTCCTCTATCCTGTTTTTTCGTAGAGAGGAAAACCAGAGAACCCAGAGAAAAACCCTTGAAACAAGGTGAGAACCAACAGCAAACTTGACCCACATAATTATGGCACCAGGCTGGAATTGCACCCAGGCCGCATTGGTGGGAACCAAGGGTTCTCACCACTATGCCATGCCTGCTACCCACATACTATCCATGTCTATTGGTTCTACTGGACATTAAAATGTAAATGGCTTCACTTACAGTGATATTAATCAACACAAAATAAACAAAAACTCACCCATATCCAAAATGTATAGGTCATTTTTCCTGCCAACACTGTCTCTGCCTCCAAAGATAACAAGTTTTGATCCAACAACACACATTCCATGAGCTGCTCTAGGTGTTGGACATCCAGTAAATGAAGGAGTCAGTTTTTCCCACGTGCAGTTCTCTGGAAAGGTATTTACAACAACACACAGTCAAGCCAGACTTAATAGTTACATTTATGCCAGTTTTGTGAGTGACAGGTGAATGAGTTCTTTTAACCCCTTTTAGTTTAAGATATCCACCCCTTAGAATTAAGATCTACCAATAGCTGGGGTTTCATTGAGGACTGTAAACTAACTCAGTCCCCTTTGTGCCATGTGGCATATAGGACCACACAAAGGATTACAGAAATCACTACATTAAGAACTCCACACCAAGCAATTTGACCAGCTATGAGAACCATTTTGTCCACCTGGTTTGACAATCTTGAGAAAATTGTTTGAAAGGTTTGCCTTACTGCAGAAAATAGTCAATGAAACCCCTGAAACATTGATTGAAACTACAGTGCTGCTCAAAAGCAAGTTACCACCTCTCGTCTTGTTTCCCCGAGATGAGACTCTCATCTCGCACTCTTGTCTCGTGAGACGAGAATCTTGTCTGGCGAGACGAGAGTGTGAAAGGGTGGTAACTTACTTTTGAGAGGGTGGTAACTTACTTTTGAGCAGTACAGTAATACATCCATGTAGTTACACTTGATATGAAACTTTCTAATTGCTGGTGTCCCTGATAAGGGTCCTTCTGTTGTGCTCTTAGGCAAAGGCTTTTTATTCTGACCTTTTCACACAATGGGAATTGCTGGGAAAAACTGACAAACTGCTGAAACTTAACAGTGGGACTAGCATCCCATTAGGGGGAGCACAAATAATTAACCTTAGTCATTTTGTTACAAAGAACCAAGTTAATTGATGAGCCATCTTGTTTCTCCAATCCTCAAGATTGGGAACCTTTTGGTTTGAAGGTGACCCTTGGCACATTTTAAAGCTTATGTAATGAGTTAATGTGATGACTGTCTTCTCTGCACTGGAGGGTAAGTGCTGGTGCGTAATGTACCTGTGTCAAAACTGAAGAGATCATTAAACCATCCAAACTGTGCTTGATCTGGCTCAGAAGTGTCTGCCTCAGTATCTTCCACAGGACCAAAGCCACCAAAGAAGAGAATCTTGGTTCCCATAGCAACACATGTAAGCTTGTCACGTGGAGATGGAGGAGTACCTTCATATGCAACATTTTGCCATTGCTTTGTTTCTGATGCAATGAAAGAATATTACCCAAGTTATTTAAACAGGGGTGGAATTTATTTGTTTCAGTGTTTCTTTTTCACAGACAAAACCTTAAAAAGCAATGGTGCTCATTTGAGGACTATTGAAATTTTCAATGTCATACCAGTGTCAAAGGCATAAAGATCATTAAGCCATCCATAGTCTCTGCTTAGTCCTCCAAAAACATACAGTTTACTTCCAACTCCAGCCATAGAAGCAGAAGATCTTGATGATGGTACTTGACCTCCAATTACAATCTTGTTCAACGTGTGAGAATCTAGACAAAATAAACAGAAATGTCATGAAATGTTTGTTCACTTCATTCATGCAACGATGCGGGGTCAATATGGGGAAGGCCTACAAGACAAGTTGGAAGGGGCCTTGATGTGTCTATTGAGTTTCCTTCTGCTCCTGTCTAAAAGAACTAAATGTAAGAAGAAAAATGTACATACATACAGAGATCAGAATACACCCTCTAATGTAGCTCACGTACAGTACAAGTAGGAAAGGCATTTGTATTCAGGGCTTAAAAGGTGTCTTAACTTTCCTACCTAAGCTTAACTCCTCACCCACACCACATGCATTGAATGCTTGACACATTACCACAACTAAGCCGCTTGGCTGCCGAGGAGAAAGAAAATAATGTAGCAAGAAGCACATACCAGCCCACTGCACAAGTATCCATAAAGCAACAAAACTATCAGAAAATGCACTTTCATAAATTCACACTTAGAGTGTAACTTGTTTACCACTGAACCTGACTTTATCAATCTGTTTGCTGTCATAACATTCATGGTTCAAGTTGTCATTATGCACAACAAAAAGATTCTCACTCACATAAAGGTCCTGAACGTTCTGAATTTTGCAGAGGGCCCAAAAGAGGGCCAATGATAGTTCGTTGTGTTTTGTCTGTTTGCCTCAAAACAAGGCACCAATGGAGTGCAATGCATTCTGGTTGCTGCACTGTGCATTCTGGTCGCCACCCAATACAATCTGGTTGTCGCGAAATGCATTCTGACAAATCTCGCTTTTGCATAGGTTTCTTATATATTCTGATTATAACTGCTGCTCGCTCACTGTGCTTGAGCAATAAAAATCAGATATAGCAATTAAGAGGGGTCATTAAGCGATCTTCCATTGTGACTATCGATTGATTAATAGAACCAATCAATAAAATCTTTTGATTTTTATCGGGTTTTTTTCAATTATGTCGATTGGCAATCCATGATCGAATTTCATCGATTGGGCATGCCGGGATCAGTGATCCAAGATCACTCGGATCATGGTGCATCAAAGGAATCGACGAATCCACTCTGGTCACGGAGTCATCGGTTCCTTCGATGCACCATAATCTGAATGATCTTGGATCACTGATCCGATCCAGATCATCCCAAAGGAACGCACCCAACATTTTCAATCCTCAACAGAGCTTTGATATGACAACATTTCGTGGCGCTTCCAGAAAAAAACAAATTTATGATAACCCTTATTATTATTGCATAGGCTTATTCTTATTTCTGCTTATTTGCAATTGATCTTGTCGATGTCTGCTCAGTCGATAAATAATCGGTCATATAATTACAGTAAGCTGAAATCGCGATCGCAAATCATTTATAACATGATTACGAACTTCGATGTCGTAAATGCTTACCAGCGTCGAAAACAAGAATCTCGTTGGATTCTGCTGCTTCGCCGATATCAGAAAGCCAACGAACTCCGCCAAACACGTATAGTTTGTTCGCCATGGCGGCGGCACAATGTCCATCTCGAGATGGCAATTTGGCGTCCATTTCTAGCTTTTTCCACGCGATATTTATATCATTTAGTAGCTTTGTTCCATAGTGAATCGGTACCGAGGATTCGTTTCCCATTTTCGGCTTAATGGAAGGAAAAAATGAAGGAAAATTGTCTCCTGATGTTCAAAACCGTTGACTGTCCTGGAGCGGCGCGCGAACTTAGATTTTGGCGCGAAGCGTTCAATCGATATTTACATCTACTTGAATGACCAATCAGAACGTGCAAAGGCAAGTCGATAATTTCCATCATGGCTGACACTGCGGGGAAATTTGCTGAGGAAAAAATGCCTTTCAATTTCTTCAAAAAAGTTCCGAAAATTGTAAGAATTTTAAGCAACCTTTTCCAGTGGTATTGTTTAACATTTCGAAAAGAGCGAAAAAAAGATTTTTCGCGGAGATGACCACATATTTCTCTTTACGGTCTTTACGTTAAAATGACTTGTCAACTTTCAGGAACTTCATGCTCATATAAACGGATCTATAAGCGCCGAGACGATCGAGAAGCTCATCAAGAGAAAGTCTGACAAAGTAAAAGAAAACTGCTTAGTGTCTAAATGGCAAACAACAATTCAGAAAGGAGACAAGAGAGATTTAGACGAGTAAGTGCCTTTTGAAAATAAATGGACGGTGCTTACAACACAAAGGTGTTGCATACAAAGGTATTTTCGCCAGATTATAACCATGTGGAAAAAGTAAATATTAGCAGCGGCTATTGGGATCCACAAAGAAAGCTGGGGGTAGCCATGCATTTTTCCGAGATAGTTAGCTTTGAATCTCGTTCCAAAATGCTGAGGTCAGCTTTTTTTCTGAAAAAGAAGAAAAATGTATTTCTTCACAGATTTCCCTAGAATTCGCTTTTATTAAGATCTCTAAACTACATGGTAAATGGTAACATAAAAACTGCATCTCTGGCTGCTCTCCCCTGGTTTTGCCAAAATACAATCTAATAGCTTTTCCTGACAACCAGAAACTTATCACATGTTGAATAAATAGGCTTGCCACTTCCATGGCAGAACATCAAATCAGGGTTCCAGATAAGTTTTCAAGGTGTGGTGCCAATGAGGAATGCCAACGGGTCATTTTCCAATGCTCCCACCAAATCATCAGAAGTTTTCTATTAATTTGTCAGGTCATGTTGCTGAACTTTTTGACCAGAGACCCCTTACTTATCTGGAACTCTGCAAATAAGGGGTAACCACATGCCTTCAAGGGTGAAGTGAATTGCTTTCATCTTTTATGGTGCCTGTTACATTTTTTCCAGTCACCTACCCAGTAAGTCAAACATTTGCATCTCTCGCACTTGTATTGCAGTTAGATTTCAGTATAATTACCAGTTTTTCAGCTAGAAGCGTTTTAGGGTTATTGGTTAGCAATATGCCATTATTCTGATGTTCCTGGTTTCGCAAGTAAATTAAGCTTGATTTGGCCATGGTAAGAAAATGATTCTTTCATTTTAGTTGCACACTTGGTAGCATAGTTGACTGCATTGATTTCAACCACGTGGCGTGTAAACTATGCTTTGCATGATGCACAGAAAGCGTGCACAACAACAAAAGTAGGCACCCTCCCTAAAAACTTCTTGCAGATGTTGTTTAAATCTCTCAGTTCATTCATTCCTTCCATCCATGTACATGTATCCTTCCTTCCATCCATCCATATTCCAGTCAATCAATCAATCAATCCATCCATCAATCGGTCAGTCAGTCAGTTGGTCAGTCAATTAATCAATAAGTCAATCAATCAATCAATCAATCAATCAANACAGCAAACTTGACCCACATAATTATGGCACCAGGCTGGAATTGCACCCAGGCCGCATTGGTGGGAACCAAGGGTTCTCACCACTACGCCATGCCTGCTACCCACATACTATCCATGTCTATTGGTTCTACTGGACATTAAAATGTAAATGGCTTCACTTACAGTGATATTAATCAACACAAAATAAACAAAAACTCACCCATATCCAAAATGTATAGGTCATTTTTCCTGCCAACACTGTCTCTGCCTCCAAAGATAACAAGTTTTGATCCAACAACACACATTCCATGAGCTGCTCTAGGTGTTGGACATCCAGTAAATGAAGGAGTCAGTTTTTCCCACGTGCAGTTCTCTGGAAAGGTATTTACAACAACACACAGTCAAGCCAGACTTAATAGTTACATTTATGCCAGTTTTGTGAGTGACAGGTGAATGAGTTCTTTTAACCCCTTTTAGTTTAAGATATCCACCCCTTAGAATTAAGATCTACCAATAGCTGGGGTTTCATTGAGGACTGTAAACTAACTCAGTCCCCTTTGTGCCATGTGGCATATAGGACCACACAAAGGATTACAGAAATCACTACATTAAGAACTCCACACCAAGCAATTTGACCAGCTATGAGAACCATTTTGTCCACCTGGTTTGACAATCTTGAGAAAATTGTTTGAAAGGTTTGCCTTACTGCAGAAAATAGTCAATGAAACCCCTGCAACATTGATTGAAACTACAGTGCTGCTCAAAAGCAAGTTACCACCTCTCGTCTTGTTTCCCCGAGATGAGACTCTCATCTCGCACTCTTGTCTCGTGAGACGAGAATCTTGTCTGGCGAGACGAGAGTGTGAAAGGGTGGTAACTTACTTTTGAGAGGGTGGTAACTTACTTTTGAGCAGTACAGTAATACATCCATGTAGTTACACTTGATATGAAACTTTCTAATTGCTGGTGTCCCTGATAAGGGTCCTTCTGTTGTGCTCTTAGGCAAAGGCTTTTTATTCTGACCTTTTCACACAATGGGAATTGCTGGGAAAAACTGACAAACTGCTGAAACTTAACAGTGGGACTAGCATCCCATTAGGGGGAGCACAAATAATTAACCTTAGTCATTTTGTTACAAAGAACCAAGTTAATTGATGAGCCATCTTGTTTCTCCAATCCTCAAGATTGGGAACCTTTTGGTTTGAAGGTGACCCTTGGCACATTTTAAAGCTTATGTAATGAGTTAATGTGATGACTGTCTTCTCTGCACTGGAGGGTAAGTGCTGGTGCGTAATGTACCTGTGTCAAAACTGAAGAGATCATTAAACCATCCAAACTGTGCTTGATCTGGCTCAGAAGTGTCTGCCTCAGTATCTTCCACAGGACCAAAGCCACCAAAGAAGAGAATCTTGGTTCCCATAGCAACACATGTAAGCTTGTCACGTGGAGATGGAGGAGTACCTTCATATGCAACATTTTGCCATTGCTTTGTTTCTGATGCAATGAAAGAATATTACCCAAGTTATTTAAACAGGGGTGGAATTTATTTGTTTCAGTGTTTCTTTTTCACAGACAAAACCTTAAAAAGCAATGGTGCTCATTTGAGGACTATTGAAATTTTCAATGTCATACCAGTGTCAAAGGCATAAAGATCATTAAGCCATCCATAGTCTCTGCTTAGTCCTCCAAAAACATACAGTTTACTTCCAACTCCAGCCATAGAAGCAGAAGATCTTGATGATGGTACTTGACCTCCAATTACAATCTTGTTCAACGTGTGAGAATCTAGACAAAATAAACAGAAATGTCATGAAATGTTTGTTCACTTCATTCATGCAACGATGCGGGGTCAATATGGGGAAGGCCTACAAGACAAGTTGGAAGGGGCCTTGATGTGTCTATTGAGTTTCCTTCTGCTCCTGTCTAAAAGAACTAAATGTAAGAAGAAAAATGTACATACATACAGAGATCAGAATACACCCTCTAATGTAGCTCACGTACAGTACAAGTAGGAAAGGCATTTGTATTCAGGGCTTAAAAGGTGTCTTAACTTTCCTACCTAAGCTTAACTCCTCACCCACACCACATGCATTGAATGCTTGACACATTACCACAACTAAGCCGCTTGGCTGCCGAGGAGAAAGAAAATAATGTAGCAAGAAGCACATACCAGCCCACTGCACAAGTATCCATAAAGCAACAAAACTATCAGAAAATGCACTTTCATAAATTCACACTTAGAGTGTAACTTGTTTACCACTGAACCTGACTTTATCAATCTGTTTGCTGTCATAACATTCATGGTTCAAGTTGTCATTATGCACAACAAAAAGATTCTCACTCACATAAAGGTCCTGAACGTTCTGAATTTTGCAGAGGGCCCAAAAGAGGGCCAATGATAGTTCGTTGTGTTTTGTCTGTTTGCCTCAAAACAAGGCACCAATGGAGTGCAATGCATTCTGGTTGCTGCACTGTGCATTCTGGTCGCCACCCAATACAATCTGGTTGTCGCGAAATGCATTCTGACAAATCTCGCTTTTGCATAGGTTTCTTATATATTCTGATTATAACTGCTGCTCGCTCACTGTGCTTGAGCAATAAAAATCAGATATAGCAATTAAGAGGGGTCATTAAGCGATCTTCCATTGTGACTATCGATTGATTAATAGAACCAATCAATAAAATCTTTTGATTTTTATCGGGTTTTTTTCAATTATGTCGATTGGCAATCCATGATCGAATTTCATCGATTGGGCATGCCGGGATCAGTGATCCAAGATCACTCGGATCATGGTGCATCAAAGGAATCGACGAATCCACTCTGGTCACGGAGTCATCGGTTCCTTCGATGCACCATAATCTGAATGATCTTGGATCACTGATCCGATCCAGATCATCCCAAAGGAACGCACCCAACATTTTCAATCCTCAACAGAGCTTTGATATGACAACATTTCGTGGCGCTTCCAGAAAAAAATAAATTTATGATAACCCTTATTATTATTGCATAGGCTTATTCTTATTTCTGCTTATTTGCAATTGATCTTGTCGATGTCTGCTCAGTCGATAAATAATCGGTCATATAATTACAGTAAGCTGAAATCGCGATCGCAAATCATTTATAACATGATTACGAACTTCGATGTCGTAAATGCTTACCAGCGTCGAAAACAAGAATCTCGTTGGATTCTGCTGCTTCGCCGATATCAGAAAGCCAACGAACTCCGCCAAACACGTATAGTTTGTTCGCCATGGCGGCGGCACAATGTCCATCTCGAGATGGCAATTTGGCGTCCATTTCTAGCTTTTTCCACGCGATATTTATATCATTTAGTAGCTTTGTTCCATAGTGAATCGGTACCGAGGATTCGTTTCCCATTTTCGGCTTAATGGAAGGAAAAAATGAAGGAAAATTGTCTCCTGATGTTCAAAACCGTTGACTGTCCTGGAGCGGCGCGCGAACTTAGATTTTGGCGCGAAGCGTTCAATCGATATTTACATCTACTTGAATGACCAATCAGAACGTGCAAAGGCAAGTCGATAATTTCCATCATGGCTGACACTGCGGGGAAATTTGCTGAGGAAAAAATGCCTTTCAATTTCTTCAAAAAAGTTCCGAAAATTGTAAGAATTTTAAGCAACCTTTTCCAGTGGTATTGTTTAACATTTCGAAAAGAGCGAAAAAAAGATTTTTCGCGGAGATGACCACATATTTCTCTTTACGGTCTTTACGTTAAAATGACTTGTCAACTTTCAGGAACTTCATGCTCATATAAACGGATCTATAAGCGCCGAGACGATCGAGAAGCTCATCAAGAGAAAGTCTGACAAAGTAAAAGAAAACTGCTTAGTGTCTAAATGGCAAACAACAATTCAGAAAGGAGACAAGAGAGATTTAGACGAGTAAGTGCCTTTTGAAAATAAATGGACGGTGCTTACAACACAAAGGTGTTGCATACAAAGGTATTTTCGCCAGATTATAACCATGTGGAAAAAGTAAATATTAGCAGCGGCTATTGGGATCCACAAAGAAAGCTGGGGGTAGCCATGCATTTTTCCGAGATAGTTAGCTTTGAATCTCGTTCCAAAATGCTGAGGTCAGCTTTTTTTCTGAAAAAGAAGAAAAATGTATTTCTTCACAGATTTCCCTAGAATTCGCTTTTATTAAGATCTCTAAACTACATGGTAAATGGTAACATAAAAACTGCATCTCTGGCTGCTCTCCCCTGGTTTTGCCAAAATACAATCTAATAGCTTTTCCTGACAACCAGAAACTTATCACATGTTGAATAAATAGGCTTGCCACTTCCATGGCAGAACATCAAATCAGGGTTCCAGATAAGTTTTCAAGGTGTGGTGCCAATGAGGAATGCCAACGGGTCATTTTCCAATGCTCCCACCAAATCATCAGAAGTTTTCTATTAATTTGTCAGGTCATGTTGCTGAACTTTTTGACCAGAGACCCCTTACTTATCTGGAACTCTGCAAATAAGGGGTAACCACATGCCTTCAAGGGTGAAGTGAATTGCTTTCATCTTTTATGGTGCCTGTTACATTTTTTCCAGTCACCTACCCAGTAAGTCAAACATTTGCATCTCTCGCACTTGTATTGCAGTTAGATTTCAGTATAATTACCAGTTTTTCAGCTAGAAGCGTTTTAGGGTTATTGGTTAGCAATATGCCATTATTCTGATGTTCCTGGTTTCGCAAGTAAATTAAGCTTGATTTGGCCATGGTAAGAAAATGATTCTTTCATTTTAGTTGCACACTTGGTAGCATAGTTGACTGCATTGATTTCAACCACGTGGCGTGTAAACTATGCTTTGCATGATGCACAGAAAGCGTGCACAACAACAAAAGTAGGCACCCTCCCTAAAAACTTCTTGCAGATGTTGTTTAAATCTCTCAGTTCATTCATTCCTTCCATCCATGTACATGTATCCTTCCTTCCATCCATCCATATTCCAGTCAATCAATCAATCAATCCATCCATCAATCGGTCAGTCAGTCAGTTGGTCAGTCAATTAATCAATAAGTCAATCAATCAATCAATCAATCAATCAACCAATCAAACAATCAATCAACCAATCAAACAATCAATCAATCAGTCATTAAATCAAGGACTATCCCTTCAATAATAACAGTCATCCATAAAGTATAGTGTGAAAAATGTACACACACCACATACACTTTGTACAACATACTAGCTGTGTAATCTGTGACACTTTCTCTTTCTTGTGTACAGGTGTTTGACCATGTTTGGTATTATTTACCAGCTTGTAGATGACACTGATGCAGTGTTCTTGGTAAGGTTATAACCGTTATTCAGTTAACACTCTATATACTCTTTGTAATAAAAGCAATATATCATCCATCTCCTGTCAGTGGAGTGCAAACAATATGCAAATTAATTCTTTCTAACACATGAAAACAGTTCAAAGTCAGGATTCTAGAGAAAGGAATCATTGGACCCTAAATCTCTTATGTGACATATTTGTGTAATTTTCGTGTTACGGGACACTTATCAAATGTATTTGACAACTGTATTGATTATATCTTCAAGGTTACAAAAAGTGTCATTGAAGACTTTGAACAAGATAATGTAAAATATTTAGAGCTCAGAAGTACTCCAAGGGCTAATCCAGAAACAGGTATAGGAATAAAATTGAATATAAGATCTCAATATTATAAGCTAGCCTTGTCTGAGTGTGTGGGAGGACCAGATGAGAAAGTATTCGGGTCAAGGTCATAGCCTATGACACCAAGTGCAGCAAGGACCATGCAAAATTGATGCCTGGGCAACATATATGACTGGGTTAAATATTTTCCCACCTGGCCCAACCCAACAAAGGTGATGAGTATTTTATCATACCACCTTTATTGAGCTTGGGATTTTGTTAGAAATAAAGTTATGAAAATGTCACATCAACCAGATGGCTTAAACTGCAGACCTGCTCATGTCAACTCATCCAACCCTACACAGTGCTGTTCTTGAGAGGTTTCCCTTGGCAGGGCTCAGTATATGGCAGTATGATAGTAAAGTTGACTTTATTTAAACTGGGTTGCCCTTTCAGCACTAGGCTGCTATCAGCATGGGCCCTGACTACTATAATTAAAGTGTCTATCATAATTATATAACAAAGTAAGAAAGTCTAATAAGGTAAATGTAACATACAGTAAGTGTTAGTAAAATACATCTCAGGATTATCAATGATATAATATAGGTTATTTATGAAATTAGTATAAATCTATGTCTAGCATTTGAAGTGTCACTGAAAAAGATTTAGATAAAGTTTTTTAACTCCCTGTAGATTTATACTAAAACAAGTACATTACATGTGTATCTACTCTCCATTTTCTTTGCATAACAGCTGACTTGGGCTCCACCCTCATCGACTATTCTGTGACAGAAATCTTTTGCTCATAATCTAATTGGTAAATAGAAAATACCCATGCATGAGCAAGTTTGAGAGAACTAAAAAGTTGGCAAAATGTGCAGATCACTAATAAAATTATTATGAATTCTCGCCAGTGTTCTCAACAGCTTCATTTGCCTCCTTGCATTCTGGTTATGTTGACAAATTTCCATTTGTTTGAAAAATTCTCAATTTGGATGCAATTGACATCTGCTAGAATAAACTGTTATCCAGTGTGCAGTTTTTTTTGCCCTGGAAGTCCAGGAAAATAATAATTCTTTAAATAGAGCTTATTGATATAATTATTGATTAGTTACGTTTACTGCTTGAGTGGGTACATAAACAGATTAATCTATAGTTACTTAGAATTTGAGGTTGGCTTGGAAAGTAGTAAATTCACCACTTGGTTTCATTTTTACTGGTAGCTCCCAGAACAATTAAAATTTACTATCTAAATTGTTTTTAAAAAATTGCATCCAACTGATGTGGATAACTTAGTAAGTTGTACAATCTTTTTCTCCTACAGGGATGACAAAGCAGTTGTATGTAGATGCAGTGTTAGCAGCTATTGAGGAGGCTAAAAAGACAGCCCCTAATATAATTGTGAGGTAGCAGCAACTAACATGGATCTATGCATTTTATAGCAAAAATTTGCAAGGTGCCAAAATCACTATCTTTTCTGAGAGGCTGATCTTCTCTTAACTTATAAGAGAAATCAAAACTCTAAGGTGTTTTAAGAAAATTGAGACTGAGAGAGTTACAAAATTTGGTTCACATTCTGCAAGATCCATGATTTTTGAAGGATCATAGGAACCCCTAGCCCAGGGGGGGACTCCCATATAAAAAGGACAGGGGTGCTTGTCCGAAATTTTGAAAAAAAAAAAACCTAAGCCAGTTACAGAGATTCTGTTTTGTGGGCATGGCTTGAAATGTTTTTCTCTCCTAAGAGGTACCAATTCTAAAACAACACATTATCTTGTGTCTTATTTTTTGAGCTCAATACCCTAAAAGGTAACGCAAAAGTTGCCGCTGTGGACCTTTTGACGCTGAACACCCTAAGAGGTACCAAAAGCGTGTTTTTTAACCCCTAAAAGGTACAACAATCACCCCTGTCCATTTTATATGTCCCCCTCCTGGACCCCTAGGTGTCTGGTTTCTTAGCTGACACACCACACTCTAGATTACAATGGGCTGTTGATGGTCATGATTCCAGACAAATTTGTGGAAATTAACAGAGTATTCTTACTTATTCAACTAAAACATTTACTTGGCCTTGCTTAAAGGGTACCCAAGAACAACAACAATCAACCTTTAGCACCTTTAATGTAATGACTTGCAAGCTTAACTAAACCAGAAGGTGACTTTCAATCCCTTCCTTCTTTATCATTTGCTCTTCTACTTACTGATTCTCCCACCTTGCTCAATCAGTCTCGATTCCCTGACTTTAGGGTTTGCCCCTAAAGAAATTTGTAAGATGTCACTGACTGTATTGTATCTGTCAGGTGCCCATATTTTTGATAGAATGTCTTGATCAATTTTGCTGTTACTGTTTATCTGCTTCCCTGGAAGGTTTATACTTGCTATAAATCGCAAGCTTGGCCCAGATGATGCCCTGGATACTGTGCACCTGGCGATTCAATACAAAGAAAAGGCCAAAGGGATTGTAGTGGGTCTTGACTTGAGTGGTGATCCTTCAGTAAGTGACCAATCACTGTCAACAGCACAGTGTTCCAGCTGATAATGATCTACCATGTTCTAATAAGTACATGTACATAATAGCCATGCATTTGAGCATGCATGAAACCTGCTTCATTATCTCACAGAAGAGAGATAAAACTCTAAAAGTAGTGGACACAGAGAAAGATCCAAAGTTTCACCAGAATGGTAATTTTGATTTCCTGAAATCCTGTCACAAAATTAAATTCAATGAAATGTAATCCTGTACTCCTTCCTCTGAATACTTGAGACTGTTCTATTGAGCTCTGTTGAATCTTGTTATCCAATTTGAAAGGGAAAGGGAACTTTCAATATTCAGCCTGGACAGTGGTCTTTGTACAATGCAATACAAATGTAAAAAGAATTCCATGAAGGTTAAGAAATATCGATATGTTTGACAGGGTCTGGGAATTCAAACACATTCAGCTTCTATCTTTCAATTAAAGTTGAAGTGTCCGCTACTGGATTCTTTAAACTAATAAATTTCTCAAATGTGATATGTTTGTCTTGTTACTTACTGTATTGTTTTGCTAGTAGTTAGTTGAAAACACTTGTGACAAGGGTTGTAGAGATCTGGGTATTAATAGTGTTTAATTGGTAACCTGTTGCTTTAATTTAACCAGACATCTCTTGTAAGAGGTGGAAAATGCCAAGCACACAAGAAAACACATCCCTGATTTCCTGAGCCAGGCAAAAATATTAATCTGGTTACTTACCTTTTCAATCATTGCTTGCCCTATAGAATTGAGTTCAACAATTCATGGCCAAGATTTAGAGCACTGATTCTTGATGATACCCACAATGTTTCAATTTTCAGACACAAGATTCCAACAATTTTGTAGCAGCACTTAAGCTTGCACGAGAAAATGGCCTTAAGCTTGCTTTACACATTGCAGAGGCAAGTACAGTATGAGTCAACCATGCATGAGATGAGCAATAAGTAATATATCAAACACAAGAAAGAGTGTTACATCGGGATATTCAAACATCAAGAAGAGAGCTGAAAATACAATGTGCAGCAGAGTATTTTTGACAAAATTCGAGGTGTTTGGATAGCTGATGAAACACTGTCTTGATTGTTTGATATATCTTTTCAAAAACTAAGGAGTAAACAGAGAAGTAAAATCATCAAAGTCTATACTTAATTAGACAGGGTATCCAAGCCTCCTTCAAGTTTGTGATTTTCTTTGTTTTAACGTGATGAATTATTAACGAGTTTGAGAACTACATATATTGTATGAAATCATAGTTTTTGCATCAACAATTTCAAAAAATTACAGTAATTGAGGAATTCAACTGTCTTGTAAATACACCAGTTGCCTCATGTGGAAACACTGCCCCAGCAGCCTGAGGTTTCATCTGTCCCATTGCGTCATGCTAGAAAAAGCTGTGTGTCAGCTATGGAGGGTTAGTTTCCAAACCCACCTGAAACTGACAGACATGTTCTCCTGACCTGACCAAAATCCAGTCAGTCTTAAGGTCATTCCCCAGTATTGCATTGCGCATCCCTACTGCACATAATTTCACGCGAGATTAGCACGTGCGCATTAAAAAATGGCAGCTTTTTCTTTGCAGCTGGACCTCGCCATAGAGGTAAATCATCATTTTCTCAAAAACGAGTACGGTGACCTATCGTTTTTTTCTGTGGTGTTGAATTGAGTAATAAATTTTTTAATGTAAAATAAATATGGGCCAATTCTCAGTGTTGAGCAAGAAACAATCGTCGGAAACGTGAATTCAGCAAGCAATCGTGACTATAATCATGGTGCTATTGTAAGGATTTATATGGTATAAACAAGGTGCTGTTGCTCCCAGACGAACATGGGGACCCCTCATTTTTATTTCCAAATTTAAGTTCCTACAATATAAATGGTCAATAGGCAAAGTTTGACAAAAATCTCAGTGCAGGCTCTATTTCAGTGGAATGACCTTAAATGATTACCTTGAGCAATCAAGAAATCAAAAAAATTTTGGTGAATCCTTACAGATATCAAGGATACAACTTATTTTACACTTATATTGTTGTGATATTTGCAAAATATAGCATGAAAACTGTAACCTTTTTAACAGCTTCCTCATAATTACCTGAAAGGTTCCTGACTTGAAGGAAGCAAGAGTCTTGCTGAACTTAATCCCAGATAGAATTGGTCATGGAACGTGCATCCATCCTGAGAATGGTGGTGCAGAAGATCTTGTGAATATAGTGGAGGAACACTCTATTCCTATAGGTGAGTTTGAAATACAAAGCATTAAAAATTAAATGAATATATTTGATGATTATTACCTTGCATTGTAGGCATGCAATGTGTGCAGAGGACATAATAACAGTCACCCTTTGCATGTATTGCAGGCTATAACTACATTATGCTCTGTTTGTATATAAGGAAGCAATATTTTTATGTACCCAATATTTGTACCTGATTGTACCTTTTTGGCGTGCTTTGGTACCATGTCTGGCAAGTTTGGTCAAGCTATGGTTCATATTTCGGCAAAATGTAGTTGAACCAAAATGCCTAATGGCGAGGCCATACAAGCCTGTTATGTCACCAAAGTGTACCAAAAAAGTTATGATTACCTTGCCAAGTAACCTGACATCTCAGGATATAAGGACAGTGGACAGGACTTCTGATTGGCTAATTGTGAATTTGGGTGTGCCAAAAATATGTACATAATGCCAGTTGGACAAAGGTTAACAATGCTGCCACAAAATATCCAAATCTTGTTCTTTTCAATAACATGGCAAAGGCTTTCTCCCTACAAGGCATGTAATACGTGTGTAAATATTATTGTAGGCATTTTTTTCCATCATTGTAACTTTGCAGTTGATTCACTCACACTCTGATGTTTGATTTACAGAACTGTGTCTAACATCCAATGTTAAGACCAAGACTGTTCCATCATACGCTGATCATCATATGAGTTACTGGTACAATAAACAGCACCCTTGTATTGTGTGTGTAAGTACCACTATACATCTAAAATTGCCACTAGTCTATAATAGAGCAATTCTACACAGTCATATTTTGTACATAAAACTGTTGAGATAAATTATATACAATCATGTGCACACTTTAGAAAGTTGAAACAACAGAATAAGTTGGAGTGTGCATTGTTCTTTGCATGAGCTAGTAAAGATTCTCATTTTTAACCTCTAGGAATTAAGATTTGTGAAATCATTCTATTATGCACCTTAAAAGGCCATAGATTAGTAACTTCTTGATCTAACACAAGAAAATATCACATGGAAGTGATATTGGTGAAATGATTCATTTTAACTTTTACATTGACATCTAATACCAGCAACCTTTCAAACTAAACTTTGTGTTATCAGTGAAGTTAATGTGCAACACTTTACATTATTTTTTTCAATATTAAACTTGCAGTAGTATGTGATGCATCATAACTTTAGCTTGGCAGAAATACCTTACTTTGATTTAAATATCCTTTCAACAGACTGATGATAAAGGTGTTTTTTCTACAACACTGTCAGAGGAGTACTCTGTGATGGCCAGAACATTTAACCTGACTGAAGAACAAGTCTGGAACTTGTCATTTATGAGCATTGATCATATATTTGAGGGAGAAGCCTTAAAAAATTATCTAAAAGAACTGTGGAAAAAAGAGAAAGGAAAAGTTATGTTTTTAGATAATTGAACAAATATACAAAATGTGGAATGTTCATTTGATCCTTACTATTAAATTTTGAATCTCTTTCTTGAGGTCCACTCTTCAATCTGAAGCTACATTTCCAAGACATTTCAGTCTGACTTCTGAAATGGCTGATAGTAACTGCAGTTGTAGACTGTTAACTCTGAGAGCAGAAAGAAATAAAATTATCACCCTGGGTTTCAGCCTGATGCTATGTATAGAACAAAATATTTATCACATGCAGCCAAAGTTCGCAACAGTATCTTGGGCCTGTGGGTTCGGGGAGGGGGGGAGCAAGGGAATGGTGACTCCCATATAAATGCTTGTCGGAAAAATTATTTGAATTATTTGAATTAAACCCTCAAAGGACCAGTCTGAGTGTGGATCATTAGCTTTATTTGACCCCTAAAAGATACCACCTAAAATGGTACAGGCTCAGTTAACAGCTGCTGTTCAGGAAGGGAGCCCGGGCTAGTAGACTGGACTCAAGAGACTGGCAGGAATTGAGCCTTGATAGTGGAAATAAAATGATATATATGATATATAGTTAGAGAAGTCCTTAGTCTGCAGTCTGCATTTTACCCCCGGTCTGCAGTCCGCAGTCCACAATCTTCATTTTACACTGACCGAATTTGCAAGGCAGACCAGTAGATGTACACAAGGCAAGAGTTAGTGGTGCATGGTACAAGTTCTTTAAAGTGCCACTGAAACGAAATTTTTGTATGTGAGATTTTTGCTTAGTAATAAAGTTTCAACCTTACTTGGAAACACTGCAAACTTTTTTTTCGC